CGTAACACTAACAGATAGACCATCAGGGCAGGTAATGCTCGACAAAAGGATGACACCATGCAGGGTCGACCATGAAAAAAGGGGGAGCCTGGAATAGGGTGGAGATATGCCTAACTGAAGGCATGCAAGGGCCGACACTAGGGTGATGAGGGCAGTGGGTGAGGGAAACATGCACACAACTCACCGACTGAGGGAGGAAGGAGCTAGATCTGGGAGCAGGGAAGCCAAGATAACGCTGCGGTCCAAATGCCTATGCGATAGCAAGGGAGAGCCCAACTCAAAGAGACCCAGCTAAGTGAGAACCATCATGCAACAGATGCAAGGGAATGTACAGGGTAGGGTGGTGGCGTGAAGTAGTCACGTCCAAAGTAGCTGAAGCCAATGAGGTGACTGAAGTCGTCGAAGTGGTCGATGACGTCGATGAAGTAGCAATCGAGTCGATGTCGAAGCAGAGCCGCAAAACGCTGACATCCTGAAGAAGTTGATGATGGAGTACCTGATGGTGTGAATCAGTAGGGGAAAGATAGAGGATAAGAGTGTCAGTCATCGTAACGCGAAGGGCGACGATGAGTGCGCTGTGGACGCTTGGAGGCGACCGTCTTCGGCTGAGGAACGGCCTCAGAGGGAGCGGGCTCGTCCTCAGCAATCTCCTCAGCCGGAGGAGGAGGAACAGGGTCAGTCAGCTGAGCACGGGCAGACATCTCAGCACGACGAGCACGATCGTATGCACGCACCAACATCCTGGCGTGCTGCAAGTGCTCGAGGGGCTCCCAAGTAGCCTCCTCATCAGGGTAACCCTTCCAACGCACAAGGTACTTGATGCGTGGATGGGTATCGTCGGTAACTTGACGTGATACGATGTCGGGAACAACGAACTCCTTATGACCGTCCACCATGATAGGTGGAGGGCGCTCATAAGGGCGTCCGGCGAAGCGCTCGGACGGTCTGCGATAAGGACGCGGCAAGGAGACGTGGTAAACATCCTGTACGCAAGCCTGTCGAGGGTAATCAGGTAGCTTCACACGGAAGCTGACGGGACTAGCGGCAGTATCCGAACCGACGGCCTGAAGCATGCGGCATGGACCGAAGAAACGACGCTTGAACTTGCAAAGCGTATCTGCTTCGAGCTGTAAGTGGCGTGCGTCGACGAGCACATCGTCACCGACTTTGAATGGATGATCCATTCGTGATCCGTTCGCTCGTGCGGCCATGCGAGTCTGGGAGTCGGCTAAACTCTCGTGTGCGCGCTTCATAATCGCCGCCATGTGGGCGATCCAGTCGTCAAGCGCAGGGCAACGAGTGTCTGGGCGCAGCCGCGATGGTCGTAGGAAATCCGCGGGTACGTGAGGGTGGTAGCCGAGGTCGCAATAGAATGGCGACATCCCCATGGCTGGAAAAACAACGTGGTTGTACACAATCTCCGCGTGGGCTAAGTGTAAGTCCCACTGCTGGTCATCCCTAACAAACTTTCGGAGGATATTACCGAGATTTTTATTGGTGAGCTTTGTCTGACCATCTGTCTGAGGGCGGTGAGACGATGAGAAGCGGAGCTGGGATCCGTACACCTCGTGTAGGCATCACCAGAATGTGTTGGTAAGGCGCGGGTCACGGTCGGAGATGATGCTCTGAGGTAAGCCGTGATCTCTCACGACTCGGTCGAAGACGATGTCGGTGACCTCACGAGTGCTAATGCGATAGCGGTACGGGACAAAACGTGCACGCTTCGTGAAGTGATCGACGACGACCAAGATAACATCATGACCGCGCTCAGTGGGTGGGCGGAGGGGACCAATGAAATCCATCGAGATGGACTGCCAACGTCTTGTGGAAACCCATATGACCGGCAACTGCCTGATCATGGAACTCTGCTACAGCCTGGACGCGGAGCTGTCCGGTGGAGGGAACGCAGATACGTCGTTCTAGCTGACCAGATCTGTCATGCCAGTACACGAGGCCGTTCTCCCCGAGGGAATAGGAAGGAACGGTCTTGCCACTCCGCAGTGTCGCGTGGATGACGCGATAATCGGGGCAGTGGTGGTACTGAGTGTGATATGCGTCGATCACCGACTGAGCAACGGTGGCGATGAAGATGACAGCAAGATGAATGGGTTCCTGATTGTGATCAGGACGGCGGGACAAGGCATCGACGACGGGATTCGTTTCACCCTTGATGGGCTGAGTGGTGAAACTGAACTCGGATAAGTCATGCCACCAATGTGCCTGTCGAGGGGAAAGCTTAGGCTTCGTGAGGAAAGCCTGGACAACTGAGTTGTCCGTGCGCACCGTGAAGGGCGCCCCGTGCAGATAATGACACCAATGCCGGGTAGCATAAACTACTGCGAGAACCTCACGTTCATCGACAGTGTGGTTTATCTCGGCAGGCAGTACCTGACGGGAGTAGAAAGCGATCCGACAATCCCCAGCACGAGCCTCGACAGTCCCATCCTCCGCGATGGTCGCGGAGTAAGTAACAGGAGGACTGTCAGTGGAGGGAAGTGGTAGGAGTGTAGGCGTCAGTCGAGAAGCAGTGTCAGCAGGAGGGGGGGGGAAAGAAGGAACATGGGGGTAAGGTGAATCTGGAGGAGAGGGAAACACCTGAGAAAGGACAGCTCCTACTGCAAAATCTGACATATCGGTGGTGACGATAAAGGGACGATCAAAATCGGGAAGGCGAAGAACCGGCGCACAGGTCACTGCCTTCTTGAGGGCACGAAAGGCGTCATCGCACAGGGGTGTCCAAAACCACGGCGGGTTCTTCCAGAGGAGGGTAGAGGTAAGGACGTAGGAATACCTGGCGTATCCATGGATAAAATTACTATAGTAGCTGGTGAGGCCTAGGAAACTACGAAGCTGCTTGGCAGATGCGGGGACGGGCCACTCTGCAATAGCAGTGATCTTCGCGTCGTCAATGTGGAGACCCTGGTCAGACACATGGTGTCCTAGGAAGTCCACTTTGCGCTAGGCAAAGCGGCACTTACTGAGTTTGGCATAGAAGCCATGCTTGCGTAAGCGCTGTAGGACATCACGGAGGTGTCTGAGATGGTCTTCTAAGGTACGACTGTAGACCAAGATGTCATCCAGGTATACGAGAACGTATTCTTCAAAGATGTCCCTGAAGATGTCATCTGTCGCCGTCTGGAAGGTGGCGGGTGCATTGGTAGGGCCGAATGGCATCACCGTGAACTTGTAGTGGCCGAAGCGCGATCGGAAGGCGGTTTTCGGCTGATCCTCTGTGGCAACGCGGATCTGGTGGTAACCGCTACAAAGATCGATCTTCGTGAAGAAGCGGTTGCCTGCCAGACGGTCAAACAACTCATCCGCGCGGGGCATGAGATAGTTGTTCTTAACCGTGTAACGGTTAAGGCCGCGATAGTTGATGAAGAGGCGGAGAGTTTCGTCCGCTTCGTGAGCAAAGAGGACAGGTGCACCCCAAGGGGAGTTACTGGGTTTAATGAAACCCAGTCGAAGGAGCTCCTCAAGCTGACGGTTGAGTTCCGTCACCTTTGAGATCGAGAGTCGGTACGGTGTCTGATGGTGAACATGATAGTCAGGCACGAGCTGGATAGAATGCTCAACACCGCGCATCGGGGGAATCCCGCTGTATGAGAAATACGGGGGAAAGACGTCGTGGTACTCTCGAATCAGGTCGCGAACGGCCGACTCTAAGTCTGTCGTGAACCGTGTGAGTTCCTCGGCGTCTGTGTCAGCATGAGATGTATGTGTGGACTCGACAGTCGACGGCGCAGGGGCGTGAGACGTGGAGGGGGTATCCGCAGACTGACGAGTGGATGTAGAGATGGGAGCCGCGAAGATGGAAGGAGGATCAGGGGGATCGGGCTCCAAAGAGATGAGCTCAACCTCGGGACAGAGTGAATCGTAGCGAAGAAGATCCATGACGTTCACTGAGTAGAACGTGGCGTCCTCCTGTCGTATGAAGTGAGCAAACTGACGAGGGGAAGTGAAGGCGATGTCTGGGTGGGACCCAGAGGGACGAGGGTCCTGGGGAGGTAGGTCTGGGAGGGTGTCACCCGTGATTCCAATGAAGGGGACTCGAAGGGTCTGGCCGCACTTCGTTTTGAGAACGAGTGTCTCAGTCGCCCATTCGGCCTCTGTGCTGCGGAACCGGCGAGACCAGGGAGTGCCCAGGAGAAAGTCGTACCCAGTCTCCAGCACGTCGAAGTATGCGGAGGAATGGTAGCGCCTAGGCGTCTGGGTACTATCCGATGGCTGGAGGGTGAGGGAGAAGTGGAGGTCGGGGACCGTCTGATCGAAGAAGCGCTGCGTCTTGTTATCTCCGAGGGTAACGAAGATAGGAGAGCGAGACCCAGAGGTAACTAGGCGAGCTTCCTCAACCACTCGAGGGTGAACGAAATCTCCCTGCGAGCCGGAGTCCCATAAAGCGCGATACACCCTTTTAGATGTCCCTAGGCAGATAGGGATAATGGATAGGGTGCGATCAGGATCAGAGAGCAGAGCGAGAAGACGACGCAGGACGTTGACGTGCCTCGTAAGTCGCTCCTTACGAGGGTGCAAAATGCTCAAGTCCAGGAGAGATGACACAAAGTCATCGCGAGTCGCCAGCTGAGTGTTACAACGGGCTGTGCAAATGGCGCGACGCGTCGGAAGTCTCGGGGGAGAAGCGCTAGATGTGGCGGTCTGCGGGGAGGCAGACAGTACCTCGACAGACGACGGGGCAGAGAGAACTGCGTCTGTCATATTCTGAGGGTCCTCTGGTGGGGTAGCCAAAGGGGCAAACCGCGACTCGGTGGTCGGGAAGCCGGCTACGTGCGAGGCCTCAGGGGTACACTGCACCGTGGCTAGCTGGGTGGGGCTGGTCGGGCGGGGCCGGGGGGGGACTAATTTCGGCGCTGACGAGAAATGTCAGCGTAGTACCGATCAAGTGCGGTGTGGTATGGACACCGTGAGGAGGTGTGTCCATCCTGGCGGCAACGAAGGCAGCCTCGTCGGGCCTCGAGGGCGGCACGCTGCTCGGAGGATATAGATCTGCGAGGAGGGACAAAACCCTGCGGGAGGTCTATCTGAGGAACTGTGGGTGTGCGAGCGCCAGCCTGTGCAACCCGACTGCGTGCACGACCCATGGCAGACATGGCCATCTGCAGGCGCTCGGCCATTGGGACAGTGTCGTCATCCAAGTAGTATTGGATGACGTCTCGAAGCTCGATGTCCTCGGGGGCGTCCCCAATGGTAGGACGGAGCTCGGCTGAGGCGTCCTCTCCATACTCGAGAGAACTGTAGTGCCGAGAGAATGGCGCTCCACGTCGAGCCGGGCGATGAAAACGACCGACAAACGAGGAGCGGCCTCGGGTGGTACCCCGAGACTAAGAGGTGGCGGCTGGCCGCGAAGAGGATGGGGCGACGGAGAAGCGACTGCACATCCTCTGGTACTGACGCGCAGCCTCGTATGCCTGCTCCGTGGAAGAGAATGATCGCCTCCATAGCTCTAGGCGGTAGTCAGTCGGCAGGCTGACAAGGAACCGGTCGGTGAGTGTGACCTCCGGTAGGAACGTCTCGTCACAAACAAGGCGAGCATCCTGAAACACCCGGATGTGACGCTCCAGGTCGGCCGGTACAGAGGACCTGGACCATCTGGTCTGGGTGACGCGGTCTAAGGCGTCGGTGGCGTCATGACGAGCGCCGAAACGGTCCTGAGGGAAGGCCGCGAAGTCGGCCAGAGTGGGGACCTCACCCACGCGGAGGCGCTGGGTATAATGATCCTCCCACGCAGTGGAAGGGCTACCTCACAATTTGGTTGCGCGCACATCGCACCACAACTCCTGACGGGTGGTCATCATAGAAAGCGTGCGCGTTGCTATTTGCAACCAGCGAGAGACACGGGATGTCCCATCATACTCGGGGATGTCCGTGGTGCGCACAGGAGGATGTCCACTGTGCTGATGGAGGGGGGAGAGAGATCGAGGCGAGTGCACTGCTGCGGCGTAAGTCGAGGCCGCTGCAGGGGCAGAGGTGGGGGAAGGCTGTGGGCCGTGGCCGCTGGCTGATGGACGAGCAGACGAGGAGGTAAGGACCGTGGGCAGCTGTCCCGGAATAGCCAGGTAAAAGGGAAGAGGCTGAGGAGCAGGTCGAGGGAAACGAGCCTGCATCATGGGGACCGAAGGGGTGGTAGAGGAAGAAGGGTGGGCAGCCTGTGATGGGTGAGGCTGTCTCAGAGCGAGAATCTCCGCCTGAGCCTGCACAATGGTGACCTGTAAAGTGGCTTCTCGCTGGGTGCGCGGGGTCGGAGGTGGGGGGGGTGGAGCGGATCTCCCAGTGGGAGGAGGAATTCCAGCCTGGGCAGTACCCTGCTGTGGGGGCGGGGGGACGAAGGCAGGAAGAAGAGGGCGGAACCGTATTGCCGCGACCGGTGCGGGAAACTCGGAAGCAACACCGGTGTGGGTCGATGAAACTGTTGGGTCATAAGTCAGTACCTGGACCGCAACACCTACGGCAGTAGTAGAGCTGGTAGAGGCGGCCGTGGCCGGAAGAACTCCCGCAACAGACGAGGTGGTCTGAGCGGCAGCAGCACTCGCCACTGCTGCGGGGGAGTGTTGGGTCTGGCCCGCAGAGGAGGGGGAACCATGATGTCTCCGACTTTGGAGTCGTCGGGAGCCGGACTCGGAGCCGGTAGGGGATGGGGTATGGGAGCGGTGGGGAGAGTGATGAGGAGAGTCCTTGAGGCGGTTGACGTCAAGGGCAAGCGCATTGATTTGCGCTTGCAACGGTCCAAGCGTACTAAATTGCGCCTGGATCGCTACGAGGGTGGCATGAAGGTCCATCGTGTCCGCATGACTCTGACCCTGACCGGCTGGCTGAACGCTCACCTGGGAGGTGGATGACACCGCGGTGATCTCCTCAAAGGAACTCCCTTCTATGGTCGGAAGGGAAAGGGAGGTAGAGCTCACGGGGGGGTGTGAGGAGAGGGGCCCGCCGGTAAGAGGAAGGGGACCGTGGGAGCGGAGTAAGTATGTGTGAGTCGGCTCACCCCGGATTTGGCGAGTCGCGCGTGAGAAGAACGCGCCAAACCGCTCGAGGGGGGAGGAGCCGTTCGGGTCCAGGGTGCCCAACGGGAGGAGGCGGGAGAGTAGGGGGTTTAGAAGAACCCTAAACCCTAGAAAAACCCTAAGAAAACCCTTACCGGAGTTTAGGTGGTTAGGGGAGGGTAGCGGCGACCTAATCAAGAAAAAAAGATAATATGGAAGGGAGGGGGAGAGAAAATAGAATAAACAATAAAATTTCGAGATAAAAATAAAATAAAAGAATAAATAGAAATAAATAAATAAATAAAATGTAAAGATTGAGGAGAGAAATGATATTTATTTTTTTGGAATTTTCGGCAGCATTTTCCCACCCCGCATGGGGTCAAAAATGTGCCAAGTCACATGCAAAGATTTATCCCAAGTATACCCATGTACACATATATAAGGGTTAAGTATGTGATGATCAATTCTCACGGTCTCACTAGGGTCTCTCACAATAATACGTATATGTGTGATCGTAGGCAACCAAATCCAGAATCTGATTCACAACACATACCTGCCATCACATCAACGAACCAAATCAACAGCCCACACACTACACGGAGTCAACCCCAACCACCTTCGACACTCATACCCCTCGCTTTTGCCCTGCAAGCCCAAAACCTTCTGTCCAATCATCCTTAATTAAACACTCAGTACCTTTGTTAAATGGCCATTCAATAAAAGTCCGGGTGAAACCTTAATAAAACAACGAAATCACCAGGGCTAAAACCTTTTAGGTTGAGTGTGGAGGGAGAGTTGAAATTGAGTTGTAGACTGACGAATCGGCAACCGACCTGTTATCAGTGATAACAGAAAGTGATCCTCAAGGGATCCAGCTGGATCTAGCCCTGAACTTGGATCAAATGATCAAAAGAACCTGTAACACACGGCAGACCAATCCCCAAGCTAAGATCATAACCGTATGGAGAATACAACTCCATTATACATCTTCCCTCAAAATTTTCTTATAAGCTAAACTTGAGTCTACTTTTAAATCAGTGCTTAAGCCAAAGGTAGACCAACTGTAGAATCTCCCCTATTCTGGGTGGATCGCCTGAATTTCCACCTATCAAAATATAATCTATCTCCTCTAAACTAAAAAAAAATTGGCAGCGCTTTCCGTAGGAAAAGTGTCTTTTCAGAATTTATACAAGCTCAAGTATGAACGCATGAATAATCTCTAACGCTGAAAAGTTAAATTCTGTCTAACTCTCTGAATTAGTAGAAATTTGGGCAACAGACTTTCAAAATGCCGCAAATTAAAATTTTCAGAAAAATAAATGAGTAAATAAATAAATTAAATAAGGAGGTGGAAGAGGATGAAGAGAAGCTAAGTTTGGGAATTTTTCAAAAATTTCGGCAGCATATCGTTACCCCCATGGGGTCGAGGTGTGCCGTCAAGAAAAAAGACTAAGTAGAATGGAAAAATTTGGCCAGCGCTTCGCTACCCCTAAGGGGTCAAAATGTGCGCCGACAACAAAGAAAGACTGAGTCCTAGCAAGATATAGAGGTGCCTCAGAAAAATTCGAATTTTTAGAATAAAAAAAAAAAAAAAAAAAAAAAAT